TGCAGAACATGGTCACTGGAAAATAGGAGTCAGCAGCTGGCCCTCCACTACAAAGCCAGCTAACAAGGAACTAAGCCATTATATTATGACACGACTTCCATCTTTTCCACCCAGAAAGGATGTTGCCTAGGTGATGTACAATAATAGCAATGTTCATAAAGTCAGTGATAGCCAGCCAGAAGGTCAGTATTCTCTTCAATGTCCAGCACTAGCTACACAGTGTGACAAGACACAGCCTTTAATGGCCAAAGTGTTAATCTGCCCTGAACTGTGAGTTTCTAGTTTCCACCCATTGGATGAAAACGGAAAATTGAAATGCGGGAAGCCTCTCATTGGCTCTCAGAGACAAATGATCGAACACCTAACAGGCATCCAAATAATTAATGAGTGATAGAGAAAGTAGGCTTTACTAGGTAGATTGCATGAGGCCGAGCTTCAGAGGCCCGGAATGAAGTTCAGCCCACCGTAGAGTGCACACATTAACCGTGAAATCTAGACCTTCGGAGTAGAAACGAGCAGCCTTGGGTACGTCCTTGTGAAGTTGCAGAATCCACCTGAAAGAGGCTGCCGCAGCCATTTCCCCCCTCTAATTCCACTCCTCTTAGCTAGGAGGTCGCCTCTTAAGCAGCCGATTCGAAGAATGCGGCCCTGTGGTATCGGCAGGTGGATGGCCAAGGATCGCCGGAAGCGGAGCGCCGAAAGGACGGTGGTAGATCAGCGGAAAGAGGGCAAAACTCAACTAGTTCAGGGCAGTCGGCTGGCAAGCAGCAGGAAACCAATATCACAAAAGTTTTACTACCTAATCTTGGGCCTTATATTAGCCCAAATGTCTTGTTAGTTTCGGCCAGCAGCAAGCCCAACATCGTTGTCGGTACAAATGCAGAGTTTCCTATTTTTCTTTCGGTTTATAGAATTTTGTCCCACTATACTATTGTAAATTAACACACGTATCACTCTATTAAATTTCTGCACACACATGTATCTTTCTAATATTAATATGTAACAAGTTTAACCTACCGTCTAATTTTTGCACAAACTTAACAGAAAATTAGATAAAAGGGTAAACTTGTTACGTTTTAATATTAAAAGGATATATTTGTGCGAAATTTTAGTAGAAGGGTACGTTTGTTAATTTAAAATAATAGAGTGGGTACAAAATGTTATTAATCCTTTTTTTCCGCCAACAATTAATCATTTTCAACTTCCTAATGGATTTTCCCCAATTTTAACGTTTTTATTTAAAAATTCACAGTATATAGCGGCAACCTACGATTAAATTTCAATCTAGTAGTATGTGAAAATAAAATTCTCAATATAGCTGGATTTTTGATGACTTGACAACGGTGCAGAGGAATGTCGCTAGTCAAACCAGCATGCACATGATCACAAATTTGGAAGTCAATAGGCTAATATGACATGGTATGATTAGGGTACACAAGTATGAGTACAAAATATATAGATCAAATACGAATACGAATATCTTATGGATCATATCTAGCCTAGACTTCATGAGCCACGAGCACGAGAACGATGGATAATATACTTCTTTTATAAAAAATATATTTAGATAAAATCATGAGTTTATAGAAAACTAAATATAAGTACATAAATAAAAATAGTTAATTTTAGATATTATACATGTAATCTTCAAAATCATTGGGGACCGAAGTCCCCCCTCCACTGAACACCAATGTAGCTCTGCCTCTGCTTCCCAAAACCCGTCAACCCTTTGCCTATACCTTGGTACGATTGAGGTATTCCTCTATTTAGGGTTAGGATTGAGGTATTTAGTTCGAAGTTCGATCATAACCTGCCTATCAAATATGAAATCTCCAACAAAATCATCGTTTCGAAACCCAAATCCTTTTATTATTTGATCCACGTTCGATTTAGCTCCCTATCCAATCTCAATTCCCCTCATCATGTTTCATACCCCAAATCTATGTATCCACATTCGAAGAGAAGATCCCCATCCAATATGAAATCCTCACATAATCATTGTTTTGACCCCAAATCTTTGTATCCACAAATCGACGTTTTGTTCCTCGCCATTTTATTTCCGGGCGGAATTTACTCACCTATCTCTTTCTAACACAATTACGGCGACCATGTCTATTATTGTGTTCATCAAACTTTTCATTTGCAAAAGAACCCTTGAAAGAGGTTTGCTAAACCTATGTTTCATGTCGCTAGTGCTTTGTCATCTTGTCTTAGCGTTATTATCATTTGCAAAATAACTTCTATCTCTCGGTGAAATGAAGGTTTCCTGATATGTAGTGTTCGTCTCGCCCAGAGGATTGAGGAAGAAGATGAAGAAGACATAATTTGATTCGAATCGGATGGAGAGGTCTCCTTAATTTGTGTTTATGTATTAACGGTGCGTTTAGGACTAATTCTAGTTGGACTGGGTCTGATCATTGATTTTTGCAGGCTTTTAAATAACATTCAAAAGTGGGCTTGTACATGATCCATGGCACCTAGTTTGTTGATAATAGATACTGAATTCCGGATTGTCATTAGGTTGGGCCTTTGATAATTGTCTATCCTAGTTTTCGATTCTTTGTTTTACTTGATTTTATATTTTATTTTCATATGCTTCTGCTTCTGAAATCCTGATCATGCCTTGAGTTCATATAATTTAAACATAATTATGTGTTCCATCTTTTTTTGGGATTTGGTAAATGGTAGCGTGTCTCTTTACACATTTAGCGGTACGAGGTAAACTACAATCTGCTCAATTTAACTCTTCATTAATTGGCCCTATTCCACTCTCTCACTGATTACCCCTCTTTATGCAATGCACTCGTACATACCAAACCTCTTGTAGACTAATTAGAGGCTTGTGGTTGGATACTGAGTGAAGATATTTTTTTAATTTATGTTTTGAAACGAAAGTTAGAATTTCACTTTTGAAGTACCTATGTACTTTAGTTGGGCAAGTATTTTCAAAATGTAAAATTTTATCAGCGTATAGGTATACGATTGTTGTATAAGGTGTTGATGTTAAAGGAAATGGGTACTGACTGCTTAGGGTATTAGGTTGTTGATGGTATAGAGTATATGGTATATGGGTAGATTATAAGGTGTTGATGGTTTAGAGCATATGGTATTGATTGGTTAGGGTGAGCCGGTGAGGGTAGGTGTTGTTTTCTTTTTTATCGATTTTATATTTTCTTTATATCTGCTTATAAATGCTGATCATGCCTTATTACTAAAAAAACTTAGACATAATTATTATAGCGTGACACATTTATCGGTACGAGATAAAATGATTTGGTGTGTGCAAGGTAGGTTCCTATTAACGATTTTGCCTTGTTGGTGATTCCGGCCATTAGCGATTCGCCACATATGGAATGAAAATTAGTTAGAGTACTTAAATTCATCTTTCTTCATTTATTCTTTGATTTGAACCTGCATGTTTTTGCTCCGAAGGATTTTGTCGTGGCGTGCTAAAGACAATCCGTCCAATTTAACTCTTCATTAATTCCCTCCTTTTCCACTCTCTCACTCCCCCACGAAGCAGAAACAATCCCCTATGATATATTTACCGTTTATTTTAACCCTTCACTTAATAAGAAAGCAAAATTTCACATGATGATAATAAATGTCATGTAGCTTAATTGGTTAATTGTCCTTTAGTTGCTGAGTTAATAAAGTAGAGGTTTGTGGTTCGATATTTAGCGACTATCAATTTTTAATTATGTTTTGAAAAGAAAGTTAGAATTTCAATTTTGAAGTACCTATGTACTTTAGTTGGGCAAGAAAAGTTAATAAACAATAAAATAGAAAAATAAAATAGTTATCGATGTGGCATTGCTAGAAGAATTCCTAATTTAGCAATCTTACTAGTTTAGAAATAACTCCTCCATCCCTAACCATTGCTAAGTTTTGCCATCTAAGCTCCACCTCATCTTTAGCAATTGCTAAAAGTTGGGGATATACTTGCAATCAATAAGCAATTTCTAAAGTGGGCCCTTATCGCCACATCACCAATCAAGCAAAAATCCCATTCGATAATTTCCAAACCCCTACATCCCTAAAACCAATAAGCAATTGCCAATAGTGGGCCCATACAATTTCTTACCACATAACAAAGAAAGAAAAAGTAATTGAAAAATAAAAAAATATCCTAGGTGGCATTGCAAGATGAATTTCTTATTTATCAATCTTGCTAAATAAGAAAGCACCCCCACATCCTTGCAATTGCTTAAAAGTGGGCCACCTAGGATTCCACTAAATAAGCAATGGGATGGAGATTGTCTAAGGTGTTTATGGTTTAGAGCATAAGCCTATAAGGTATTGAAGGTTAGTGTATAAGGTAGATAGCAAGATGTTGATGGTTTAGAGTATATATGGTATTGATTGGTTAGGGTATAAGGTGTTATTGTTGTAGAGTATATGGTATTGATTGGTTCAAGTATTAGGGTTTGGTTTAGGGTTACAATAACATATACCAAATCAATAGATTAATTTTGCTAAATGAATGTCACATCCCTTCTCGTGAAATCATTTAATAAATGTACGGTACTATTGTGATTTTCTTTCTATATATATATATATGATGAACGAGATAAATTGATGAGAATATATATAATTTTATCCAAAGTTTCATATAAGATGAATTAGTTTGGGATCAAACTTCTGGTTTCATGAAACAAACCCGCACTTCAGTTGATTTTGTTTAAAAGTATTAACATGAGGGTAACTGAAGTAATAGTTCTTATTAAAATTTATAAGCATTCTTTGGGTTTTGATGATAGCCCACACCAAGAAATTTGAAGACTACAGTTGGTGAGTATGACACAAAATATTTAATGATTTATGAGTTTAGATAATGGGACACTATCCAAAATCCTTTTAAGCCAAGGGGAAGATGACAACGTGTTTACTCAACTTATCCTGCCCTCTTATTTACTCTACACGTTTGACAATTATAGTTCCCAAAAGCCCCAAAATAACACCACGTGTGTCTCTTATCCTTTGGGGATTTAATTGAAGAGGATGGGGCAGTTGATCCCCTAGAAAAGCAGAGGGCATCCATCGTCCTTAATTAACTTTCTCTTGGAAAAGAGAAGATAGAGCTATGCTCTCTTGCCACTGAAAAGTACCCACCAAAACTTCCACTTCACTCGTTTCCTCCATGGCTAGAAGAGAGATTGATGGTTGGTGAGACTAGCAAAGGAGTTATAGATTAAAGCAGGTATCATCATAATCATTTTCATTCTTTAGTAATCCAAAATTAAAAAGGTATAATGGAAAAGGTGGTCTCGCATATCAGGGGAACAAATAATGAGGCTACTACTAGTTCCTTCTATTATCATTTAACCCTAAATCACCTTGTCTTTCTTGATTGTATGATTTGCATGCATGATAGTTGATACCCAGTAAAGTAAGATTTTATCTACATTAGAGAGGGTTACAATACCGACAATAGTGTGGCAGAGTATTAGAAAGTTAATGTAAATGGATAATCTTAAGCATACTTAATTAATTATAGTTATGCGCATGCCCAAATAATAAATCATACTAATCAAGTAGTTATGAGAAATAAAAATAGGAGAATTATTTACATATATATCTCAAGTGAGAAGCTCATGATAATAAGTACTCCCCTTACTAAGTACGTAAATGGGAAAAAGGGACTTGGCAAGACAAGTTCATAAAAAAAAAAAAATGATAAGTATGTATCCCCTAGCAAATACTTAAAGAGAAGTTAAATATACAATCATATATATTGGTGTCAATGAAAGGGTAACTAACTAATTACTGATATGGAATACTTTTAAATACTATATGTATTTCCAGGGGATGCTTAATTGTACCCGTTTATGCGAAGGGTACGTAGGAGCAAGAGTTGTCAAAGCTGAGTGATCGAGTGGAATCAGGATAATGAGTGAGTAAATTCTAACCTAATGTTTATCTTAATATGATTATGGTATTTCGGGTCATGAAGCGGCTCGAGTACAACGTGTATGATGGTTTGGTAAGCTTTAAAGTAATTGTGATTGAATATCGATATGTGGTATGGTTACATGATTAAATGGTGATGAAATTATTTAATTATCCTATGATTGGATGAGGTTACCGTAGCATGGTAATTATATAATAATGTGATGACACTACAAAAAAACTGGGTTATAGCGACGAAAATTGGAGCGACGGAAAGGTTTTCGTCGCTAAAAGTGTGGTTTCAGCGACGAAATATTAATTTTCGTCGCTGATTGTCTCTATTTAATTACATAGGCCATTCGATGGATTTGGCGACGGAATTTAAGATGCAGCGACGAGTCTTTTGTCGCAGAAAGTGTGAAAGATTTCGCGACGACTTAACTTCGTCGCAGACTCTAGATGTATCTAAACGACGACGTCTGTCTGTTTATATGTACAGTTCGGGCCTGAGTTTGAAAATTTTTTTTTGGGTCAAAGCCACTCCAAACGGTGTCGTTTGGGTTTTTTTTTTTGGACACTCGGCCACTTCAAAACTTCCAAGTCTTCATTGAGCTTTCACCCAAATCAAACCATCGAAGGAAAAACCCTAGCATAGAAACATGCCTTATCCCAAATCCCGCCGCTCTTTGCCGTCACTACCATCCTCAAAGCTCGAAGCTGTCGTAGCCGGTGCTTGAAGGATGAGATCGGTTGTCGTAGCCAGTGCTTGAAGATAGATTTTCCCATCTCCGAGATCGACCCTTGCAGCCGGCGTTTGAATCTCCCCTCTTCGAGATCGATTCTTGCAGCCGACTTTCGAAGGATAGACCTTCTTTGATCATAAACTTCACCGTGCGTGAACCCCTCCCCCTTCAAGAATGGATATAAGGGCATGATATTGTAGGTAAGCCTTCATTTCGTAGGAGCTCATTGGATACCTCTGTTATGTGCTTTGGCTAAAAGTAAGGTGGATAGTAGAGAAGAACTCGTTGGAGTCCTGTGGTGGCTTGGAGTAGCATATAGAGAAACCAATGATTAACATTGTCTTTGACAGTTTAGGTAGAGGAGCTACTAGAAACTTATCATTACCTCCATAAAACAACAAAGTAACCTTGTTTGGGATTTAATTAATCCAGGGGAACTGCACGTTTGTTCCCCTGTCCCTATCCTTAAACAATATAATTAGTTATTATGTCCTCCCAAGTCATGTAAGGTATATAGTACTTGGTTAATTTTTATGTAATGTCTCAAGTGGTGTTGTACCATGAGGAACCAATGATTCGAGCTTTGAGTTGTCATTTGTTTCTTTTGTTATGTTGTTCATGTGATGTTTTCTTATGAATTTGAATGTTTATCTCTAGTTTGGATGGTCTTTTACTATCTTTCTCACCTTTTATCATGGGTTGTATCCTCGTATTCACGTATTGGGTACAGCTCTGTGAATTGATTTAGTACATAGCTGTTAATTGGTTATATATAGACTATCGGTAATAACAGTAAAACTAAAGAATGGCGATAATGCTTCTTTCTCACTTCTTTTTCTTAGTTACAGCTTTATCAATTTATTAAGTACATACATATTAATTGGTTATATATAGATTATGCAAAGGTTATGACCTATATGTGCTTCCCCTATCACCATCACCGTCATTGGAGTTCGTAGCTGCTTAGCCCGCTGCTCGCTTTCTTCGTCAGCATCTATAATCCCATCGTCGACAAGACTCGCGAGACTCAAGGTGGGATGAGTGCTCGAATAATCTAGGTTTTCACTATGGTTTTCTCTCCTCCATTTCACTCTGTGTTTTCTCTTGTTTATGTAACGTGCCGGCAGAATCGGGTGGTATCGGGTCTCTAAAGTCGACATTGAATGGTTTGGGAGCTGGCCGGTTTCAAGAAACACGACAATAGCGGAGCCTTGTCCTGCTGTACCTCCACTTCGCCCAGCTGGATTAGTGGTGAATTCCATTCCCCTGTCTACTCTCTCTAAACTGCAATCTCCGGTTGGGAAAGTGACCCAGGTATTCACTTCTCTCTTTCTTTTAGAACAGAAGACCAAGTCATGACTATAGGGTTAATGTGTTGATTAGAGTTTGTGTTGTGTGCTTCTCTTTGGCCCTCCCAAACTATGTCTCTCAGGAAGTTTTGTCCCAAATCTGTAAATCTAATGCTCATTAAGCTAGAAATATGTCTGTAACAAAATGCTCTTTAAGCTAGAAATAGCGAAGCCTTCTCCTGTTCTTACTCTGCTTGATACGTCCAGTTTTTAAGTGAGGCTTTATTTATACACAATTCCTAGCGCTCCATCACCATAAGGAATGCTCTAGATCCAACAATTAATAAAGTTGGTAGGTTTAATGTGTAGCTGATTTTTCAAGATAGTTGGAGGGTCTAGATTAGGGTAGTTGGCAGATGGGATGATTTCATTTCTTGCATCTTCCTTTGCATTGTTGGCAAGTCTGGAGAATTCTGGATATAAGTAGAATTGTGGGTTACATACATTTGACAATCCCCACTGCTACTGCTACTGCTACATCCACCAGGGCGGACCCTTTACGTTCCGGAAATGAATTGGATCTCGAGTTTGTCCGTTTGCTCTCAAGTTGAGTGTTAATTTTGGTGTCATGGCAAGTCTATTCGCATATTGGCTATAGTGTGACTATTTTGTTACTAATTAGATGGTAATGATGTTATTATATTTAATTAAATTACCATTTTGCTACAGATTCAACTGATCTGCAAGATGAAAGTCAATAAATGAGAGTACTTTATGAATCTGTTTAGCAATTTAATGATTTTTTTGTTAATTGGCTATGTTTTTATCCTTTCCCTTGCCCTTCTCCTTCGGGTATTGATTGACAGTGAACTTGGTCGGTTTTGTGTACTCAGGAGTCCAAACATTTGATCTTTGCTTACTCAATGCTCACTAAAAGAGTTCAGAACCCAACCCAGAACCAACAACGGGATTGCTTCGTTTTCTCTCTGAACCAGGCAAGCTCCACTATCCCTTTTTCCATATTAAATACGTCAATATGCCACCTTTCCATCATCAATTCATCCTCCCACTTAACCTATGCACTTTGCATCATTAAGCACCACTGAATTCCTATGTAGCAATGAGCTTTCATGGGTTGCTATTTGCTGTCTGTCCAGTTCTGTGAGCTTGCTTTGAACCACTGTTTCTTTGCCTACGGGGCATTTAATTTATGGGTGGTAAAGCTAGTCATATTGGTTGGATAGAGAGACCACAATGGAATAAACCTTTATGGACAAAACCAAGGAAAATTGCGACATGGGCAAGTTACGTACTGATATGTTTAATGTGATTGATGGAATAGCAGATAAAAATACTTTCAGGTAAATGCTACTGCCAACTCCTATCCCGCGCTCTTGAATTGTTGTCATTTTTCGATGTTGATGGGTAATTTTAATGAAGTTATCAAGTAAGGCTTATGAGCTACCAGTGATGTTGTTCCTTGTTAGATATCATATTTGAAGTGATTTTTAGCCTTCTAGGTATAAATTAGTTACTAATAATAGTTCTATTGTGATTTTATTTTTGTGCAGACTAGCTATCAGCTTAATGTTCAACCAGTAGTTGGGTATCTTTTTGCATGAACCAGCAATGACCAGCAGTTGGCCATATGTTGACATGGACCGGCAGGGGATATTTTGGCATGGATCGTGATGTTGAATATGGTCAGTTTGAGCATACAAAATGATTACTATGGTGTGATATTAGTATATAGCTACGTTTTTAAACACTGTAAATATCATAGTTGGAAACAAGTTTAGTTAGTGAGCTATTATGTATGGTTTTATGTGTGAGGATGCTCATGTTAATGACAGACATTGTTATATTATTTATCATTTTATGAAGAAGAGTTGTTTAGTTAGTGAGCTATTATGTATGGTTTTATGTGTGAGGATGCTCATGTTAACGACATTGTTATATTATTTATCATTTTATGAAGAAGAGTTCAGTTGTATGGTACAAGAGCAAAAATAAAGGCTACTCATCAAAGCTGTGGTTTGTTTATGACGGATTTTGTCGTCACTAAAAAGGTGGTATAATATTTGGACAACTTTTCAGCGACGAAGTTTTTGTTGCTCAAGACCTACTGATAAAACTGAATTCGTCGCTGATGCACAAATTCAGCGACGAAATATTCGTCGCTAAAGCTGATGCTATGTCACCATGAAGCGACGAACTGTAAAATTCGTCGCCAAATTTATTGATTCAGCGACGACATTTTCGTCGCTATTATTTATCGG